ATCAAGGAAGAGCACAGGCAGAAGGGAAAATCCAAGAGGAGCACAAGGAGGTGAGGAGCAGAGTCAAGGAGGGGCTGCCCTGAACGTGGAACCCCTCCTAGGTACCCTGGGGGCTGCAGGCACTCAATGGGGTTGATTTCTGGGCTTCTGTAACATGAGCTCACAGAGGACTTACCTCAAGGGCTGTTCTGCCCAGATCCCAGGGGGCTGAGAATCTGCATCTCTAAGCAGCTCTAGGTTGGACATAGTCCCCAGCTGGCTATCTCTAGAAGACCTGGATACCTGGGCTCAAGGCCCTAGTCCAGGAGAGATGGTAGCTATTTAGAAAGAGGGAGACAGGTCCAGGGCCCCTCAGGGGGTAGGCTAAGGCCATGTTGTCCTTAAAGTGGGGACACGGGAATCATGGCTCACTTTGGGGGTCCGCTTAAGTTCTGAATGCAGGGTCAGGAAATCTGTGACACTTACAGTATGCCAGGGGCATTCTAAACCAAATAGTCTTCCCAGAGCAGTGATTTCATCCTAATACAAGAAGTAAAATATTATTTTTATATTGAAACACCTGTAGTTATTTTATGAAAAATAAAACAAAATCTCTATAAAAATTATGATGGAAAAGCACTCCAAAGAAACACGCAGTTTCACCACTGGAGGCCTTAGCACGGGACCCCCACCTTGAGAGTCTTGGATGGACTGGGGTTAGCTTGGTGGTATAGTGCTTGCCTAGCTAGCAAGCTCAAGCACCTGGGTTCCAGCCTTGCACCATAAAAAAAAAAAAAAAAAAGTCTGGGAGGATATTTGCCTCTCAGGGTGTACAGAGGCAGCCTGACCCAAGAGCACCTGAATCCTCAGGGACCTAGGACCTGTAGCAGGCTCCCTGTGACTGGGCACTGGGCTAGGAGAGATGGGAGGAAGCAGTCTTGCAGTGGGAGGGGTTTGTAAAAGCAGAGCCCCCCCACCAACCACAGAGGGAACTTAACTGTCAAAGAGCCCTTTGCTGCAGCCTCTTTGCTACAGCTTTGGGGACCTTGCGCCGGACTCTGGACCTAGGGGAAATGCTTGAGCAGACATAGCTCTGTACATGCAAAACTTCCTCAAGCTACTACCTATCACAGCAAAAGCCCAGGAAGAGACCACAGCTTCTACCTGCAGGGTCTGGCAGTGTTCTACAGCACATGGCCTGAGGGACAAGCAGTGCACAACTGGAAATGTGGATTCACTGACCTGGAAAGATCTACACACACTGAAAAACCAAACTATGGAACAGCACAGGTACCACCCCTCTGCTGGGTAACAAGATGTGAATGCTCAGAAGTGTACACCTCCACAGGGAAGGACTTCTTCCTGTGTTCTCCATTTTTCTCTACTAGTTGCATCTTATTTGAGTCACAGTGAAAAATGTCCCTAGCAAGTTTTTCTAGTAGAATGCAGACCATAATGGCATAACTTCATTTTTCCTAGAACCATGAAGAAGCTAAACAGAGTGTTAAATATGAAAACTATGTTCGACACGGAGAAGCAATCAAAACAGACACCGAGTGCAAAAACAGTATAAAACGGCACATGCTCCCTGTCTGTGGTTATGTGGATGCACAGGGTCAGGGACAGAGAACTGTCCCAGCAAGAAAGGGCAGTGGTAGCGTCAGATGGGCCAGGGTGAGGGCTTTTTCTGTCCTACTGTCTCTCTAAAGGCACAATAACGCCCTTCTTCCTAATCAGAGGCAGGCTGAAAAGACAAAGAAAAGCGTCAGACCCCAGCTTTGTGCTGGCAACTCCCACCCTCCCAGGCGGCTCTAGGTGGAGCCACAGCGCCCCACCGCGGCCTTGGCAGGGAAGGACCGAGGCCGGTGCATGGAAACATGGCTGCTTCAGGAAGGCAGAGCCAGGCCCAGATGGGAGCTTGGTTTGGGGTGTGGGCACAGCCTGGAGGCCAGGGCTGCTATGTGTGCAAAGGAACTGAGGGCACAGCATAGAGAAAGATGCTGTAGAACATAAGTTGCCTGCAAAGGACAGATTGTTCTCCACCAAAGGTGAGACAGGTAGCCCTCTAAGACCACCCACAGGAACCCCTGGGTGTCCACAAGAGGCACAGTGGGAAACCTGATCTTAAGGCTCAGTTCTGCCACATACCAGGCTCTTGTCAAATCCCTGATTAGCTCTGACCTCAATTTCCCTATTTGTGAAAGGGGACAATCCTAGGGCCCTACCTTCTAAGCACACCAACTAAAGACAAGAAAGACTATAGGTGGCCTCTTGTCCTGGCTCTACCATTTGCAGGCCTTATGAGTGTGGATGAGCAACTTGACTTTGAATTTCAGTTTCCTAATATGCAAAATGAAGTCAATGCCAGTATCAGCCTCCCAGAGCTCCACTTCCTGCACTGTGCCCAAGGCAGATCCTGACAGCAGTTTGATGCATCATGACCTTTTCAAAAACTGAAACAGAATAGGAACCATCAGAGCACAATACCCTTAGTAAGGTTTCATATGAATTCTTCAAACTTTTGTTTCCATTTTATAAGAAATATGTATGTCCTGAGTTATGACATACAACATCATTTTTTACTGGGGGCAAAAAGATTCAGAAAAGCTGACTCTAAGACAGGATGAGCTAATGCAAGCAAATGCTAACTAGCTCAGCTCTCAGCATTTAATAAGCTCCAAAAAATGTTACTTATTCTTGACAGAGGTGATAACACCAATTAGTGTCACATGGTTCTTAAAGGAAAAACTGGCAGGAGAGGGGATTCCTCTTAGGTGCTAAGCTTTCCTAGGGTTTGAGAGCCAGGACCCTGGAATGCAGAGCTGGGTACAGGGGATTCTAGGCCTGCTGACCCATCCCCCTCGTGAGCTGTTAATGGAGCAAGTAGGAAGTTCAAGGCAGCATTTACTAATCCCAAAGAGCATTTTCCTACCCAAAAAAGGAGCCTCTTTTCTAAGTATGTCCTCCAGCCAAAGGCTGGCACAAACCACAGAAGTCTATCTCAGTTTGGCACTACATGTAGTTACTCAGAACAACAGAGAGTGAGTTCAAACAACGCCTTATCCATACCAAAATAGAGCCTAAGAAGGGCTTCTGGCTGGGCCAGGCTGATAAGCAGTGGCTATTATAGACTTCTGGCATCATCCACACTGCCCTGAACTTCCAGGACAAGGCTGGCTGGAGGGTCGCTAAGGAGAGAGACCCCTGCTTCTGCTGTGGCTTCCTGAGCACAGGGCGCTTTTCTAAGTGTGCATCCTCATGCTCCAGCAGCCCACTGCTCACACATCCCACTGGGGCAGAGGGGCAGAGCTATTAGGGCCTCATTCTCCATGCTGAGGTTGGATTTGCCTCTGTCTGATTTCTCCCTGGCTCTAGTTCCTTTCTGGAGCAGGTCCTAGAAGACAGGGCTCCCTCCTCTCCAGACTGAGGTCTTAGTAAATCCCTAAGACATGCTCATCATGGAAGGCAGAAGGGCACCCTGGTCTTGGATCTGATTCCACAGAAAACGGGGGATGATGACAGAGAAGGCTAACGTCTACATGACTCATTTAATCTTCTTGAGAGCCCTGAGAGGTAGGGACTATCATGAGCCCATTTTCACTGGGGAGAACTGAAGAGAAGAGGTAAATGGTCAGGGGCACATGTCTGGTAAGTGGCAAAGGCAGGATTTCAAGCCCTCCAGAGACCAGGACTTCAAACTCGGCTCCAACTCTGGTACCAGTCTTTGCCAGCTGTCTGACCTCAGGCAGGGCACTTGGCCAATGCAGGCTCAGTTTCTTTAATCTCTATAATAGGATACTGCCAGCTGCTCGCAAGGCAGGGAGACAATGAGACAAAGTACGTGAAGTACAAAGTACAATGTCCAGCACATAGTAGGTCCTCAGAAAATGTGAATTTCACTTTGCTTGGACCAAAGAGAAAAAGCAAGAGCCATGGGGTAGCTGAGTGTCCTAGCTCCCAAGCCTCAGGAAGCCACTGCCCTCTGGTTGGGATGACCTGTGTCACCAGACAGGGCCTGGGAGCAGATATCTGAACAGTGTTCCCTGCCCCCACTCCCAGCATAGGACGATACATGTACTAGGGGCTCAGGAGCAGCTCGCTGATTGGCTGAAGGTAGTCAGAGGGCCAGGAAAGAAAAAGGGTCGCCTGGCTGGCCTGCCTCTTCATCTCCAGCCAGAGTGTGTGCACATGTGTGCGTGTGTATGCTGGGGAAAAGGACACTGTCCACTGGCTGAGGCACCCATGTGCGCTCTACCTCCCGCATCACATACAGCATTTGTGGTCACAAGTCCCCTCCAACCACATGATTCATAGGAACCTCCAACTAACCACGGGAGCAGAGCCAAGGGCAATCCTCTGACTTCACAGATGGTGAGGAAGGCCCAGGGAGGTACAGTCACAGCACCAGGCACTTGGCTAGAAGGAGAGCCCAGGCCCTGGTGGCAGGAGGCTGGGTCCAGCAGCCTGGGCTACCAAGCTGTCCTGGGGGCAGCTCGCCAGGCCTTGGTATAAATGCAGGGGTAGGGGGCACCCAGTGACACGGGGGGTAGGCAAGGGTACCTGAGCCTAGCCCCAAAGATGTGGGTGCATGAAGAGTGAGCAGAGAGTTCAGTGGACTAAACAAAGGGGAATGAAAGGAATGGAAGGGGACAGGAACAGCAAACAGTGGAATGAACCTGACATGACTTCCCTGTGTTCATATATGAATCCACCACAGTGAATGACCATCATGTACACCCACAAGACTAGGGCCCTAATTAGAATAAGATATACTCCATGTTTGTATAAATATGTCAAAGTTGACTCAACTGCCATGTATAAATAAAAAGAAAGAAAAAAGGTGAACAGAGAGCCAGATCCCTTGAACATATTGGGCTAAGGCCCTGTGGCTCCCCATGCCTGTGAGTGAGTGACCTGGGAAGCTCAGGGTCTTCTCAGACTCCAGAAAAGAGGGAGGGAAGGGCTGTCTCCACCAAGCCTAGAACGAGCCAAGGGGGTCCCTCTGACAAAAGGAGACTTACCGCATAATGCCCAATGGATCCAATGCCTCCTCCTCTTCCTCCTCCTCTTCCAAGGACTTTTCTGCATCCTTATGGGCCAGGATGGGTGGGCCCTCACCTGCCACTAGGTCCTGCTGCTTGAAGAAATCAAAAGCTTCCTCATCGTCCCCTGGCTGACTGGCTGTGTCATCTAGAACAGAGGAATCTCTGTTGGTGAGACCTCCAGTCCCTGGGGATCTGGTGCCTGTGGGAGAAAGCAGAACAGGAGCTTGAAGCCCACCCCAGAGCTAGAGATCACTGCACTCCCTCATGCCAGGATCTGAGGCCTGGGGCATCCCACAGCTCCCTGGGACCAAGTTCCTTCTGAACAGAATGACAGGTCTATGTGGATGGGAGGCAGCAATCATCCGGGGGGCAATCAGGGGCCTAATGCAGCTCTCCAGGGATGCCTGGCATGGTACAGTCACAGGGGGAGCTTCAGAGCAAGACCAAGGTGGTGGTTCCTGAATAGCCCAAAGCCTGTCGGCAGGGCAGGGCTGGCTGAGTCCACATCCCCTGGGCTGGGGTGCGTTCCACCAACCAGTGTACAGCATAGTTCTAGAACCATCTTGCAGTGTGGGACATGGCAAGGGACTCTGCCAATCCAACCAGAGAGGCTTCACAGAGCTGGAGCAATCAGACTATGACCTCGATGAGCACAAAGAGTGAGCATGTAGAAGATTCCAGAACAAACAATATCACTCCATTACAATCTGATTTAGATCTCAAAGTGTGGCCCACAGACAGGTGTCCAGGATGACGGACATTCAGAAAGGGAGAGCAAACATCCTGAAACATCCACAGCAGCTTGGCACCCCGCAGCATCTGTGGGTGGCATTTGTGAAAGTACACGTCTGCGAAGGCTGGGAATAAAAAAGCTAGTCCTCCCCTGCGGAGAGTCTGAGAAGCGTGGGTCCGACTACTTGTTTGTCTCTATCTAAATAGTGACTGAGTAGTTTATCTTTCAGAGCCTTCACTTTTTAAAATATCTCCCTGTAGGTTAAAAAAAAACAAAACTTAAGAGTATTTTTTAATGCCTATACAGGATGTACTTAGCGAGTGGTGATGATCATATTGTATATTCTGCTCTTTTCTTTTAGATATCCAAAAGCCCATGTCCCTTCAATTTCATGTAACAAGCATCTGACATGTGAATACACAAACCCCGTGAGACATTATTTTACAGAAGAGGAACCAGGCACGGCAGCAAGGGAAGTTGGACCACCTATCTCTCCAAAAGAGAGGGGTGGGGACACCTGAACCTCTCCTCCAGCTGCAGTCACCCCTCATCACAGGCCAGGCGAGAAGAAAGGATTTTGGCTTTGGAGCAAATGGAGCAGGCAAAAAACCCCAGACCCTTGCACAGGGCACAGAAATAGAGTAGAAACCTGGGTTCTGCGACCCTGTCTTATCTGAGTCCTTCTGTGCACTTGCTGGTTTTGCTTCTGTCCCTGACCCTTATTTTTTTTGAATTGGTTTATCTGCTGTCAACCTTTTTTTTGAAAAATTCCCTTGTGTCCTATGGAATTAAGAGATGCACAGTGGTTAAGTCACTGACCTGAAGAGGGATAGTCAGGTAAGAGGCCAGCCCTCCCAGTGGTCCTGCCCTGTCCTCAGGGCTCAGGGAACAATTCCTGCCTTCAGGCCATGGGGCGGGAGCTGACAAGAGTGTGCTGGGGTGGGGTATCATCTTAGCTACCACTTCCTGTGTGGTAGGTAGGCTCTGTTCTAAGTGCTTAACACATGACCACTTGTCAGCTGGTCACCTCCCCACCTTACAGATGAGAAAACTAAAGGGAGAGCAAAGGGCTGGGGCGCAGACTGACAGTGCTCAAGGTCTCCTTGCTGAAGGCAGGGGTGCTGGGTCACAAGCCTCTCTGTGGGGGCAGAGGCAGAGAGGTAGTGTCCCAAGGGTCCTGCTCACCAGCCTAGCTGTGGAAGCACAGTTTACCCTCTATGTCACAGTCCCTAGGCCTGGCTGGCAGGAGGTGGAGGGTGTATGTATAGGGGTGTTCAGGGAGGAGCTGGCCTGGAAGCCTTGGGGGGCGCACTAGGGAGAACACACAGTGTGAGCCCATCCGGCACCCTAGCGGTCAGTCCTTCAAGAGCTCACCATTCAGCTCAAGATGTCAGTGAGGTCTACCCGCCTCAACAGCCTGGTCAAAGCTTCCAGGCTGGGGAGGGCAGCTGGGGACTGGTTCCTGCTCCGCCCTGGCAGCAAGGCCAGGTTCTGGGCCAGGGGGACTTCAGGAATGTTGGACAGAGCCTTAGGTACCTAAGAACTCTAGCAGCTCTGGGCTGCCTGCCAGCTGGGCATCCTTCGAGACGCAGCGCAGAATGTCATTGAACATGGCTGTCCTTTCCCGGATGTCAGATTCCCCAACAAAGAGCACCTTTCTGGGCAGTGGTGGCAGGTTAGCCGCTGGATAACAACTGCTCAGTTTCTGGTAAAACTCCTCGATCTCGCTGTACTTTTTGGAGACCTGGAATGAGAAGAGCACGAGGTTTCGTGAGTGAAGAGCAGGAGGGGAGAGGTCTTCTTGCCCCCAAACCAGAATCCCAACCGGAGTGCGCCTGAGTGCGCCTGGAGCAGGCCTGCCTATTGCTCTTCCACAGCTTCCCCACCTCAGGCTCTGGTCCCTTAGGAAAATCCTAGAGGCCCAAAGGAAAGCTGCAGCCATGGTGGGATTCCAGGTACTGCTGCAGGTCCAGGTAAAGACAATTGATACAGGGACCCTTCCCCGGCCTGCAAGAGACCACTGCCTCCGCCTCATCCTGGGCTTTCTGTTGCATCAGCTGGTGATCTCAGTAGCTGGAAGACTGTCCGGTAATCTTCCAGCAATGCCATGAGTCACCTTTTCTCAGCACAGAAATCTTGTTGGCTGTCTCATGTACGTCAGCAGCAGCCTTCCCTTCCAGCAGGGCCAATCCTAAGCCACAGTGGAATCAGGCACTGCTGAAACAGGTTCTCGGCACTGCCATCAGGACCTCTCAGCTTGCCAGGACCTGAGTGAAACTCCTGCTGAAGGTGGTCCCAAGTGCCATCTGAGTCCCTGAGGGTGGTGTTCAGCGTCCTGCAGGGCTCCAGGTTGACCACCTCTTCTTCCTCCTCAGCCTCTCCCTATTACTCCCAGGCAGCTTAATCATCTACTCATTCAATTATCAAGCTCTTGCTGTGTGTTTGCTCCACATGGAATATTCCAGCTGGCTCAGGTCTCATACGGGTGAGCGGGTGAAGCACAGAGGGTGTGGTGCCATTGTTGTAGTCTGTACAATCAGGTGTGGGCTACGAGAAAAGTCACCTGTCCTATGCCACAGCCTCTACCAACAGCCCCCACATTGCTGGATTCCTCAGTGCTTCCCCAGAGGCTGGGGCTGTCTCCCTGATGAGCCTGTAGCAGTGTGGAGGGGAAAGGCACGGGTGACTAACACGTGCACCCTTAGCCTTGGCCTGTTCCCTTAGCACTCTCTAGAACACGCTGGCAAGCAGGAGACAGGGACAATCCCATTCACTTGGGCTCAGGAGGTCTGGTGGTCCCCTGTACTGGATATGTCTGGGTCACTCAGCACCCCAGTTTTAAGGTTCTAAATACCAGAGATGGCTGGGGGTTTCAGAACCTCCCAAGTGGGGAGTCACCTGGGATAGGTGTCAGCAGCTGTCAGTACAAAAATCTGGTTCTCGAGCTTTCCTAAGAATATCCCTTCAGGAAAGGCAGGGGGATCCTCTCAAAGAGTGACTGGTAACACTGGCCCTGACCCACATTGTTTGGAGGACTGGTGACTCCAGCCAAGAAGGCAGAGCAGGCAGCAGTGGGGGCCGAGCGCCCCCTGCTGGCCTGAGTCCTCCATGTGGGCTGGGCCCACAGACCCACCAATCTAGAGAGCATGGGAGGACAGGAGTTCTAAGGCTGAGCTCCCAGACCATCAAAGGCCCATAGCCATCAGTGACCTGCCCCAACCACAAAAGGAGAACAAGGGAGAGGAACTGAGAGCGGAGGGAGCTGAGACGAGAACTCATGTACGTGATGCACCCCGTGCACAGGCCATCACTGGGCAGACGGTAACAGAGCCCACAGCCCCCGAACCTGTGCACATGCCTGCACCATGCTTACACACAGGGGTTTGCCAAGCCTTGAACATACTACCAGTCCTGAAGGCTAGTTTTACTTCATGGTTAGCAATTAAACATATCTATACTTTTTTTTTAAAAATGTGTCTTTTTAGGGAGTAGATGCTGAATGCTCATTAATTCTTTTATCTAAATCATGTAGCTCCAGAGAGATTTCAGGTTTGGGGCATGCAATTTTGGGCTACACCCCACCCCAGATCATCCCACAGGGAGGAAAGGAGTTCTGCTTTGCTTCTGCAGGTACTTCAAAATGTCTGAGAAGTACCTTCCAGTGTGCTCTGGGACCACACAGGGTATGAGCATCACTGGTGAGGACAAAGTAGCACTGGTGTGGCATGTGGAATTGTTACAGACATCTTCACATACGCCCTGCATGTGAGGTGGGCCCGCAGCACAGGACAGAGCACAATGACCTGGTGCCTCTCAAGGGTTCCCACAGTGCAGCTGCTCCCTCCTGTCCAGCAACACAATCTCAAAATGTTCTCTCTTTCTGCTTTTGTCCCTGAAGATAAGGGTGTGTTGAACCCCATCTTGAATAAAGCGTGATTACCAGGAGCTAAAAAACAGCCCTCCAGAGCAGAGTCACTCTTGGAACAATGCAGACATAACCAGCAGTTCACATTCTACCTGGGTTCTCACCAAGAGTGGGTTTAAGCAGCAGTCACACGAAAAACAGCACTGCTATTTTAGGCTCTTCTCATGATGTTACTGAATGTCCCTTGAAGAAAGATTGTGCCATATATTTCTCTTAGAATTTGGTCTTTATAAACAGGTCTTCAAAGCTATAAAATTCATTGTTTCCCTTTTTTCCTTGGCTGCCAGAAGATTCAGAACCAACTTGTGAGCAAGTCTGCAGCAGGTTGCTTCCCTCTGGACTGCAGGGCTCTAGCTCATTTTACCCTGTCCTAAAATCCTGTAGCCTATCTTTCCTGGTTGCCAGGTCCAGACCCTTTTTATAAGAGACCAAAGGGTAAAGAATAAATAAATGAACATGTGAATTCACCCCTTCTTGAAACTTTCTTCCCTTAGCTCTGATGACCCCACCAGAGTCTTTCAGTTTTGACTGCAGACTTTTCCCTCTCCTTGACTCTCCCTGACCTGTGGGGGTCCCCAGGATCCCTTCCTCAGCCTTTCTCTGCACCTTCCACTTCTCCTGTTCTCCATGCAACTTCATCTACTCCCAGACTTTTAACCTCACCTCCAAGTGGATGAATCTAAAACCTGCATCTTAGGCCCAACGATGGCCCGAGCTTGCGCTTCCTGTACCATCCAGGGAAGGAGCCTGGGTCTGTGCAGACAAAGCAGGACTGAAACCCTCCCCACCCCACTCCCCATTCTCACAGCCCCCCATGTCTCCCACCACTCTGTCCTCACAGTAATGCCCACACACGTGCAAGTTTGTCTCCCTAGACTGTGCACTTTTGATTCACCCTTGTGCCCACCTGTGACATAGCCTGGCACTCCAGCCCCTGAGCAAGAACTGGATGGAGAAGTGCCCACACCCTGATTCTACTTGCACCCTGGTGTTTCTGCCCATCTTGACTCTAGGTACCCTTGGAACATTCTGGCTATGGTCCCCTGCTTACCAAGAACTGGACAACATCCTCAGGCCTGTGCTTGGCTGATTTGAATGCAGCCAGCCGAGTCACCACCAAGATCTGGTACTCCACATGGCCGGACATCATCTTGCCCCGCACCTCCTGGTGCTGGGGCACGGTCAGGTCAAGGCCCGTGTGGACATTCTGAACTTGCCTACCAAAGGAAAAGAAGGCAAGCCAAGTTCAGTTTAAGTTAGCCACTTCTTCACCAGTGAAATGCAGGCAGACCTGGCAATGCCCGGGGGGGCCTGGGGGCCCAGCTGCTCCGCTGGGCACCCTCTGCAGTCACTGCTCCAGGCCACCTGCCATGCCACATACCAACTCCTCACAAAGCCTGCTTCCCAGGACCAGGCCTGGTCCTGCCTCTGGTATAGACGTCTGTTCCTAGCAGGAAACGGGGAAGGATTAGGCCCACATAAAATCATGAAGAGTTAAGCATCTGACACACTCAGCATGTGCTGAACCTGAACAGACGGCATCCTGGAGCTCTGTGCAGGCCAGGGAAGGAGCCTGGGTCTGTGAACCCGGACAGACTCACACCTCTTCCATCAGTGAGAAGGCAGGGGGGTTGGCTATCGTGCCTGCCCAGCTGGGGAATGAGAGTGATGCTGAAGGTGGCCAGTGAGGCACTGACCAGGCCAACCTCCACAGCTGGACAGCCAGGATCTCCCAATGGAGGCTGAGAAGGTACTAGCTAAACTATAGCTCTTGGAGAGTTTTTAATGGTATTGAGACACCAGGGTCTGTTTGGGAGCAAAGAAACCACGAGGGGTTCTCTCAAAGGGAGAACAGACATGAGGACATTCCTCATCCTGCAGACCTGTGTCACAGACCTGTGTAGACAAACGCACCCCACACGAACACCTCTGGCAGGTACACTCTTGCTGTGCACCAGGCAGGCCCTTCAGAATGCAGGCTGCGGCTCCAGGCCTGGACGGGCTTCTGGAGCTTAAACTGCTTGGTCTTGCCCTTCACTTCTGGAATTACTCCCCAGTCCATCAAACATCCATCCCCTGGGACTTGCTCCAAATGGATTCCTTGCGTCCCCACAGGGTAAACATGTTGGCCCTGTCACCAACACCAGGCAGCCGTCAAAAACTGGGAGACCAACTGTGATATGCTGCTCATGGTGTGTGCATACCCAGTGACCATACCGATGGGCACACATGAAGAACACGCTCGTGTGCTGTGCACACGGATAAGCACAAGTCCCTCCTGAAGGCCCAGCTGACCTGACTCCTGGGAGGTGTCAAAGTGCAGTGAAGGCAGAGGGATGCTCTGAGAAAAACTGGCCACCGATCAGCCCTCTCCTTCTTTTGCCAGTGGTCAAATCACAGTGTCCTCTGCCTGACTCTGAGCAGACTATGTGTGCTCGGCATCTCTCTGCTGTCACAGGACAGGAGGGAAAGGAGACTGGCGGCTAAGGTGAGTGGGACAACAACAGCGAGACCCCCAGCAGGTGGACTGTGCTAAGTCACTTCCACCTCCCATGGCCCCACAGTAGTGTGACTGCTCAAATACACCTTCAAGACAGGGAAACGGGCACCAAGGGAGGGGCGTGTGAACTCTCAGTGGGTCCAGGCAGGGCCAGGGTTCAATCCTGAGAGTCGTACCAGAGCCTCTGTGGCCCCTTGGGGCATGATGAAGAAATGAGGCACCGTTTCTTTAGGATCATGATGAAAAGGAAGCACAGATGGATGGGAGGGACAAAGGGGAGGGTCCCACGGCTAGAAAGAAGACTGGAGGGGACCTCAGGACAAATCTCATCTCCCCTCCCGGCCCTCTAGTCCCTCAAATGCCAGAATCTCCAGTGGGCTGGGCTCCCTGGAAGTGTCCCAGGTCTGAGAGCACCAGGATGCCTGTGCCTCACTGGCTGAGCTTCCCACTCCACTGCTGGAATCCCTTCGCCCCAGGCCTCGGCTCCCCTGCCTTCTCACCTAGGGCTGACCTGGCCTAGAAAAAGACCATGTTTCCAGTTTTCTAGTTGTCTGACTCCTTTGCCCCTGTGCCCTGGAAGCTCAACATACATAGGCACAAACATACTGCCTAGTCCTGCCTGAAACTCATGGCCACTAACTTCAAGCTGCAGCAGTGGCTCTGGTAATCCTACCTCACCTTATATGTAAGTTCTCAAAGTGTGGTTCCTGGACCAGCATCGGCATCATCTGAGAACTCGCGAGATAGGCATGTGCAGGTTGCTGACTCAGGAGCCTGGGATGGGCTGGAGATCTTCCCTTGTTGAGAGCCTGATGCACCTGGGCCTAATTCACTCACTCTCCATTCCTATGCCCCAAGGAAAACTTTCTTTATATAGACCAGGCAGGAAATATTTCAGGCTTTTTAGGCCCCTTGATCTCAGCTGTAGTTGTTCAACTCTGCCTTTGGAGCATGAAAGTAGCTATAGACCACACCTTCACAAAGAGGATGTGTTCTCATAGAACCCTAAGTCATAAAAAGCAAGTGGTGGGCAGGACATGGCCCACAGACATAATGTACTCCCCTTCGTCCTAGACCAAGCTGCTCAAATTGGAATGTGCCTACAAGGCCTCTGGTGATGATCTTAACATGCCAATTCTGCGTCCAAGCCCCGAGGGTGAACTCCAGCTGATGCTAACGCTGCTCTGTGCGCTGCTCCAGGGACCAGCCCTTGAATAGCAAGACATTACAACTAAATCCACCCACTATCCCCTGATAATGCTGTTTCCTACTACACTGAGAAAATGAAGCAATCAGAAGACCCACCACTGGGCTTGCTCCCTCTTGGGGCAGTGGCCAAACTGGCAGCTCCTCCTATGACAGGCCTCTCCACGGGCCGTGGACCTGGCATACATTCTCAGGAATGCAGCTTCTGCACTTAGCCCTCTTTTCTGCACCACAATGCTCTCTCCTTATGGGATCATCTGCTTGGCAGGCAGCCATCCTCTTGCTTCCCCTATAACAAAAGTTGTCCTTTGACCCCGCTTTATTCTCCCTCCAGCTCTCTCTCCCCTTTCCAGCCAAACTCAAGAGAGTGACCTATATTCCCTCTCCTGTTTACCTTGAACCAATTCCAACAGAAAAGTTGTCCTCATGATGTCCACCTGAACTGCCCTTGCCCACATCACTTGTGACCTCTGTGCTGTTACATTTGAAGGTGAATTCTCACTTCAACTGGATGGTCCACAGTGCCCTCCTTAGACCTCCTTCTTTCCGAAGTACCCTCCCAAGGCGATCTGACTAGGTTCAAGGCTTTAAATACCATTCAGAACCAATGACACCCAATTCCTTTCTGCAATCCAAACTCTCCTTTCAAGGCCATCCTCCTTCCTACCACCTTCCTGACATCTTCACTTGACTGTCAACAAGCTCCTCAAAATTAACCTGCCAGGCAAGTGCTGATTCCCTCTACCCCTAAACCTGCCCCTGAGGTCTTCCCATCTCTCGGCATCTGAGGACAAAAGGTTTGCAGCTGGTCTTGCCTCCTCATTCTTGTCCTCACACCCCACACTGAATCATCAGCAAACCTGAAACAATCTCCTCAACACATCCAGAATCTACACGTCTCCACCCCAACATGCTGGACCAACCCAGCACCTGCTCTCCATTGCATTCTTGGGGAAACTGCAGCAGATGCTAATGGCTGTTCTGCAGCTGCCCACTGAAGGCTCTGCTCAGATGCAGACCACATCAGCACAGCAGCCATGGGATCCCTGTGAACCAGGTCAGCTCACACTGGCATCCTATCAAGCTCAGAGTGAAGTCCCTGGCCTTTCCACCCACCTCTTCATCACATCACCTGACATTTTCCCCTGCTCCCTGCACTCCAGCCACACTGGCCTCACAAGACTGGCTCCTCCGTCCTCTCTGCCTGAGTACCCACTTTGTCAAGATTTCTTTCCCATAGCTCTTTCCCTCAGAGAGCCTAGCTGAGACCTACCCAGCTGTCAGTCTATCAGAAAGATGGCATTTGACCACACCAAATAAAACAGCATTCATTCCTATCGCTGTCTACCCCATCATTTAATTTCCCTTCCCAGGCACGTCTCATCGCTGCCATATTCTGTATCTGCCTGTGGTTCACCTGCCCCCACTAAAGAACCACGGGCAGGACCTTGTTCTGTTCACCACTGTATCCTAGAATCTGGACAGATCCCTGGCACAGGACAGGCCCTCAGCACCTACTGGCTGAATTAATGCAGGTATGCACGTGAAGATGGGTGGTGGGGGGAAGCTGGGCTGGGAACATGAGCTACCCCCAAGGGAAAGGCCACCTTCACTGCTGGACTAAGGCATTTGAACATATTCTGCAGGCAAGTTCTTTGGGTCTGCCGGTACCTGCTGGAAGGAGGGAATGAGCAGGATTCTCCATCAGCAGCACCTCATGCCTGTTAACACACCATGTGTGTGGGGAGTGGGGGGTAGGCAGTGAGGAAAGCTCCCTTCCCAAGTACCCAGCCCCAAAGTCACACTCTATAAGTCTACACAGTGCAACTCAAGGAATCTGCTGATGTGCTCTTACCTGTTTCTCCAATTTGCAGAAAAGGAAACTGAGACTCAGAAAGAGGAGACTTTCTAGGCAATAGGGTAACCTCTTCTGCCAACCTAGATGCAACCTGCAGCCTCACTACCAAGCAGAGACCAACAGGTTCCAACCCCAAGGCTCACAGAAAGAATTCTATTCTTTTTAGACTTGAAGTCACAGGTAGCTTAGGTTACAGCTGGAATGTTAACGTTTGGATTGGGCCACACATTCATGTACATGACAAACTGCTCTCCTAGCCCAAGATTTTGTGTTACAGCACAGGTGTGGCATATATGAAAATACCCCAAGTGCATCACTGCGGCCGTTTAAAAGGGGGAAAGAGTAAAACCACGTTCCTCCCAGTCTTTCCAGGATCTATCCTGGCGGGTCCTCTAGGTCTGACCCAGGGTGGACTCATCAGGGGCCTCTGCTGCAACTTCACCCTGAGCTCCCTCCTTGGCAGCTGCCCCTAGTCTCTTCCACCGGGTTAGAGCGTTCCATGGCAACCGGCACGCACAGCTGTCCCAGCACCTGCCACCTGGTGCGGGTCTGTCCAGTAGGGCCCGGTGTCCACGCCCAACCTGGCCCACAGTGAGCGCCGGAAAGGTGGGGAACTCGATCTTCAGGCCCCAAAGAAAAGAACCCAAGTGGGAAGAAAAGGGGAGCAGTGGCTCCTCTGGGGCGCCTGCACGGACCGGCCGGGCGCCGGCCTTCCTCTGGGTCTTGGGTGAATTCTTTACCCTCTGGGTGCCTCAGTTTCCTCATCTGCAAAAAGGAGACACTCGATGGCACGCCACCTCTCACGCGGGGCGGCTGGGCCTGCAGGAACCGCCCGGGGCGCCGCGGTGGCGGCCTGCGCCTGCCCCTCCGCCCCGCGCACCCGGCTCGGCTCTGCGGGAGGCGCGGGACGGAGTCTGGCTCACCTGGAGGTGACGAGCACCGCCGGGGACTGCATGACTGTGGCGGCTGCGGGCGGGCGGCAGCGCGATCACGCGATCCGGCGGCGCCGACGTCGCTGCGTCCCCGCTCCGCGCTCCTGGAGCCGCGCCGCCTCTCCGCTGCCCCCTGGCGGCCGTAGCCGAGTTCGGTGGAGCCTCCGTGGCCCGGGGCCCGCAGCGACCTGCGCTGCGACTCCCGGGTCCTGCAACCACCTAGAAAACACTTATCCCAGGGCCTGGCGTGGTGACATTTGATCGGTGCATTGTGTGGCGCTAATGCTTAGCCCCTGAAGAGACAGGACTGCTGTTTCTATTGCTGGTCCCTCTCTTTCCCTCCTGGTGTTAGGTAGCATTGAACCTGTCAGTCAACAGAAGTCTACTGGGCTGGGACGTCCCGCTGTGGAGACTGGGGACTGCAGAGCCAACACCACGGTGTGTCACAGGCCTGCTGCCTCTTCCCTTTCCCGCCCTGTCCTGGAGGCGCTCTTCCTCCTACTGCTGGCTCACACTCGGTACCCGCAGGCACTCTGTCGCACTGAGGAGCTTCAGAGAGCCACTGACTGGGGGTTAGCAGAGCCGGGGAACCCCTGGCCTGCCTCTGATGGCTGCCTTTAGGTCCCCAGCTGGGGGCCAGGGCAATGGGGTCCCAGGAACAGTTTTCCTCAGAAGGTGGCTTTGGTGGCCTGCAGAAGGGAACAGACATGCTCGGGGTAGATTCACCTCTCCTGAGAAGCAGAAGTCTGTTACCTGCCAAAGTGGCCCAGGAAGAGAATGGCTAATTCTGGAAGCAGGGTCAGGGGACGGGTGCAAACTGTGGCCCTTATCCTGTTGTAGGTACAAAAGCCACAGAAGCTGGGGTTTAGCCATCCCAGAAGGCAACATTGGGTGTCCTTGACCTCGCTGACAAACCACTACCATCATCCTCAACATCATTGTTACCTTGTACTTTAGTGAAGAAATCCCACAGTAAAAAATTTTGAAAAAAATGACTTTTCCCGCTGTGTCTTTTGAATAAGGTTTCATATGCCTTACTGTTTTCTTTTTCTTTTTCTTTTTTCCAGATTTGTTAACAGATAAGATAGCAATAATGGAGAGAAGGGTGGCCAAGTAAATGAGAGTTCTGAGGGGGACCCAGGAGGCTGCAGGGGAGAGGCTAGAGGCTGGGGAGCCACAGCCTGCTGTCTGCTCATTGGCCTGTCTGTAAGGTCGGCTTGTGGCAGCGAATTGTCTCCGTGTCTTATTTAAAATGACACACCCTTTTTTAGAGGAAGGGAGCTTGGGGCTTGGTAGAAAACAGCCTGGGCTTAGCATTCTGGGAATCTGGGTGTGGTGCCCACAGTGCAGCAATCACCACTGCATGTTTACCCAAGACACATGATGTGCTGGGGACTGAGAATCTGCAGTGAATAAGACACATTTTCTGGCTTCACAGGGCTTCTTTGCCTTCTTTCCTTGGGAAGGAAAAGGATCAGAAAAGGCTTTCTAAAGGAGCAAAATCCAAGGTAAACCCTGAAGAAATAAAAATGGCAGGGCTTGTGTAGGGTTATCTACAAAGCCCTAGAGATAAGAAAGAATGTGTTAGGGAATGAGCAGAGGCAGCAAGAAGAGGCTGGGGCCTGGAGAGCCTGGTGCACCAGGTTTGAAGCTCTGCATGGATCCCGAGGCCAACACAAGGCCGTCTGAGGGTTGCAGACATAGGAGTAGTCTGGCCAGCTAAGCTAAGGGCGGTGACTTGGAGCATGTTATGCTCAAGGTGAGAAGATAAGAAGAGTTGTGGAACAATCCAGACTGAAGATAGTGATGGCATGAGCTAGGGTGAGGGCTATCCAGGAGGAGAAGAGGGGACAGGTTCTGGAGAAACCTAGAAGATGGAGTTGGTCAAGGCCGGAAAATTAAATGGAGCCAGAGGAGCAGAGATGCACTGTGGTTTGCTTCCTGGGAATGGCTGGACAGTGGTGTTATTCTCTGGGCAGGGCACTTGCCCAAGGAACATAATTATGGTAGATGATGAGTCTGTTTTGGACAAGTGGTGCTTGAGGGTCTGGCGATATGGAAGTGATTGAGTTTATGGGTATAGGCCTCAGGAGGCCGAGCAGGGCTGGAGGTACTGATGTGGGGGTCCTGGGTAGAAAGGAGGCTGGGGTTGGGATGAGCCCACCTGGTGAGAATCCATAAAGAGACAGTTCAGAAGGGTCTAGGAAAGCAGAGGTAGAGGCTACAAAGGAGGGGACTCCCCATGGATGTGCAGCTGGTAGCATGTCTATCATCAATGCCTTGTGAATAAAGGAGGAGACTCACCCTTGGTCTGGTCTGGGTTTGCCAAGTGTGCAGGACGGGGGCCTACGCACTCCTGGTGCCTGCTAAGAATGCAAGTCTTCCCATGAAAGTGACCCCATCCCTGATAGCAATCCCATTTTCTGCCTCCGTGTGTCCTGTCTGTCCCTGAGTGGCTCCAGTCCATAATTGTCTACAATGCATGGAATGTGGGCTCTAAATCTGATATTTTCTGCTTCCTGCTTGACTCGAGGAGGCCCTTCCATGGCTGCAGTTGTGATAACACAAACCACATTGCAAAAGATTTCCTCTTCCTCTCTTTCCCACTGCCCTGGGAGGAATGCTCCCCGCTTGTCTCCACAAAGGGAAGTCCCTGGCCTCAGGGGCAGTGTGGTCAGAGGAGATATCCGCGGTAGTGGTGATCTGAACTCTGGCCATGCCAAGCACTGAGATTGTCCTGTTTCTCGTGTGGTGGGTCTTCTTGGAATCTGCTGATTTATTTCTGTCCCCTAATGTGATGCTTGAGAGGTTCTAGGGGTCTGAGCACCTCCACATGGAGCAGGGCCACCACCTTGCCTGTCACTCAGCCATTACTCATGCCAGGCCTGGGGGCTGCAGAAAGAGTTAGAGGCTTGTCTAGGGGCGCTCTTAGATGACTCGGGGACAGTTGGAGATTTCAACAGGGAAGCTGACCCAGGGGACTGTGGGTGCCCTATGGAGATGGAGGGCACATAGTAGCCTAGGTTTGGAGTACACGTGGAATTCTTCCAGCAGGAGGTAGTGTTAAATGCCAGTCATGAAAAGTGGGTGTTCTCTCTTTGAACCTTGGTTTTCTCCTTAAAGATACGGGTACAACAGAAACTTTTAATTCATATCATTGCTGCAAATTAAGTGAGATCCAGTGTGATTGAAATGAGGTGAAGTACGTGGCAGGCAGTGTTGATCAGATATGCAAAAGCTACCTATACCTATAGTTGGCCTCCTTCCTCTTGCTTTTATAGCCGTACAGGCTGGAAAGATAAAACACTCACTACGTTCCCTTTGTGATTAGAAAAGGCCATCTGATACATCTCCGGTATGTACGTAGAAGTCCCTGTGGAAGGTTTATCTTGCTAGGAGAAAACTCTTTGTCCCTTCCCTCTCTTCTCCCTGGAAAGAGGATTAATGCTGGATACAAAGCAGCCATCTTGGGAGCATGAGGCACAAACATGAGTTTGGAGTTTACACATTGAGGATAGAAGAGCCTAGGACCTGATGGCATATGAACTAGCATATCAGACCTGGACTCTTTCTCTAGACTTCTTACATGAGTATCTAAACACTCTAAGCGGGATTTCCTGTAGTGGATTCCTTGTTGATACAGTTGTGAAGTACTTATATAACACCTGGCATAAAAACTGCCTCCTGTGGGGTAGGGATGATTGAGGAGGAGGAAGAGAAGAGATAAAGTGTGTTCTAGGCAGTGGTACAAAACCAGGTGTCTTGAGAGAGACAGAACATTTTGGGGAGCCAGGGAGGAGGGCTACAGGGGGTCACTGGGAGAGCAAGTGGCAGAGGCCATCAGAAGCCTGTGATGGAAGGACCTTCTGTGCTATGCAAAAATTTAATGGGCTCACAGAACAAAGGGAAAAGCATGTTTCAGGAGGAGGACCGGGGTGTGATTAGCAACTGCAAATGCTCAGTCCATCAAGGAAGGTAAGAAGGTACCAAAGGAAATGCAGTTGGGTCGTAGTTAGAGTGGTCAGACAGACTTTATTCTGGACTATTGCATGAGAGACGGGGACCATAATACAGAACTGAACTCAACTCCTCATACAGTATGGGGGAGGAGTTATAGCCAAGTAACAGGGTGGGAGCAGTGGATGGAAAATACCAAGAAACATCAGAAGTTCAGGGGATCCTGATTAAACCAAATTGACAGGATTCTTGCTGAAGACCAGCTGGGTGATGAGGCATGACTTGGCAGAAACCTGGTCAGATGTGGAAAGTGGAGGTTCTTGCTAAACTCTCTTAACAGGGATCTTGCTAAAACTGGGTGTTATGGTTTGGACGGGAGGTGCTCCCCCCCCCACCTCCACCAATCTCCTGTGCTAATGCAGGAATGTTCAGGGTGAAATGACTAAATCATGAGAGCTGTGACCTAATCAGTGGACTATCCATTGGTGGATTAATAATTTGCAAAGACTGCTGTAGAGGAGGGCAAGGGTCGGCAGATGGGCTGTGCCTAGAGGATGTGGGTCACTGGAGCCATGTCCCCTCCCTTCCCCTCTACTTCCTGGCCATCTTGAGCACAGCAGCTTCCCTCTGCCAGGGCCTTCCACCATGATATCTGCCTCAGATCGGCTCCAGAGCCATGGAGTCAGCAGACCATGGAACAAAACTCTGAAATTGTGAGCCCAAATAAACTCTCCTCGACGTTGTTCTTGTCAGGTATTTTGGTCAAAGTGACAAAAACCTAACACGCACATTAGGTTTTACAAAGGAGTAAACAGATGGGCATAGGAGGTGGTTCTGGGTGCTAACTAAAGGCTGGTTAAGCTAAGAACCTTTATCAGAGAGAAGAGTCTCCTCTGGCTTGGAGGAGGTTGGAGTCCCTGTGGGTCAGGAGGAGACTGGAAAGGAGAGTGTTAGAGTCTGTAAACAAGTCAAAAATAACACCTGGCATTTTGCCAGGGGAATGTTAGAGTCTGTAAACAAGTCTGGATGGTGCCTGGCAAAATGCCAGAGGGAGTGGTTTGAGAAGTAACAAAAACAAGCCATTAAGTGTGGAGATTCCTTATTGGTTGACTGATGTATCTAGTTTATGCTAATTAGAT